CAAAGGGCAGGATAAGCAACAGTGAAAAACAGAGCTGCAAGTGTGCTGGAACCTTGCTTACACATTCCCAGGGTCCATGGGTTCAGGATTTTCTCAAGCTTCTGAGTTTTAATTTCCTGACATTCAATCTGCTTCACTCCAAACACCCTGTGGTAAAATACTGTATCTTGTGACAATATTCTACGAATGTTGCTTCAAACTAAGTTAATTTGTACCAAGAGTTATGCTAGTAGTTCTCTTTCAATGTTTTGTCAGGAACTCATGGCAATTAGAGATGCCCACAGTACATAAGAACCAAGAAAATATGGCTATAACAGGGACAACCAACTCTGATCCATGGGGATTTCATGAGACTATCTCAGTCTGGGCATGTGCACTGCATATCACTGCACTCACAAAGTAGATTGCCAGGCCTTCCTGGGGTGGCTGTCACACTGCATAGTGACACAGAGCCCTTTTCCAAGCTACGAAGCCAACAGTAGGCAGACCATGCATCAAGTCAGACAGGCTGCCTGAGGTTTTTGGCTACTGGCTCTGGCACAGCAAGAAAACAAAATGGGAAGCAGCAGCTGGCACACTCCAAGATGGGTGGCGTCCAACCTTGGCTACGAAGGACTTCTGGGACAAGCTTTTTTGGGTCTGCAAACCGACCAAGATGATGGATCTCAGTCCCACCATGCATTCATGGCTCAGACTACTGCACTGAAAGCAACTGGTGGACTTCCTGTGCTGAAAGGTGCCTGTCCCAAATTAATTCCCTGAATAGCCAGTTGGGAACACTGGGGATTGTGGAGACATGGCAGTTACCACAGAAGGAGAGAGAAAACAAGAATTTGAGGTCAGAGATAGCCAAAGGGGACATCCACGGCTTCCAGCCATGGGTGTGAAGGCGCATCCTTGTGCCTCTGATGCACTAGCTAGCAGGCCAACCTGACATACCCAGGTGTGTGAGAGATAGTGGATGTCCATCCCCACTGGGTGAGACTCCGATTCCAGTCACTCAGTGCCTTGTAGGCAGACAGTGCACAACCAAGTCCCAGGGATCCTTCGCCACATGTACCTCTTGCTCTGCTGCCAGTAACTTGCCATCTGTCCAACCTAAAGCAGGTGGCTTCTCTCAGACAAACCAGTTTAGCAAACAAGAATGCAGCTTAATTTGGAACATGTGCCAGCTCTCACCACCTCAAAACTCGCATCTAAAGGCCTCATCCACTTAAGTATCCACATACACATACATGTGGGGCACAACCACCCTCATCCATATGCAGACACCTGTATTAGCTTCCCCCACACATACACGCATGGGGTGGGGCAGTCACTACCAATACACACACACTTCACACCTGCAGGCAGTCACCTGTAATACACACACACACACCCTACAAGCACTCACCACCCTGTTTAATGGGGCAGCACACTTGGCCCCAAGGTTTGGATCCCTTTGCCCCTCATTAGGCTTCATTTGGGTTATTTCAGACATTCCTCCTCCTTCTTGTATGTCTTAGTGCTCCCAGTCCATGTTGGGGGCTTACCCTCACTCTGATGGAGTACTGAGCACAGATGGCACTCATTCACCCATCCCAAGGGTGCTGAGCACAAATACATCTCCAGGAGGGAAATGGACAGGTGTTCCTATGATCCAGTGAATCAGGCTGTCAAGAGCCAACTGTTGCCAGGAACCTGGCAGGGGAAACACCATGTATCTGGGTCCAAGAGGGCAGTTTTCCTTAAGCCCTCCCAGGGAAAACTGTTCTTCTTGCATGGTTTAGTACCCACTGAGGTGTTGGGGCTTAATGCCTATTTTATGGAAATGGGAGGCTCTTCCCTAGCTTGCTCCTGCAGCCACATGGCTAAGGGCAAGAGAAACTTGGGGGCATCTGAACCCCAAGCCTCTGGGCTTGGGCCTGCACATAGGATGCCAGCCAAAAGAAGTTGGAAATATCTGAAGCACCTGGCAGGGGTGGAGGATGTCTGCTGGTTGTAGGGCCACTTGTGATTCTGGACTGACTCATGGATTTGAACTTGATTTTGGATTGGAACACAAAAAAAATCGTTAAAAAACATTTTTTTTTTAAGTTTCCATGAGCCAGTGAAACAGACAATGGGATTGTGGGGAACACAGGGCTTATCATCTAGGGAGAAGGTGAAGGTTATCAAAAAGTGCCTGTTGCCAATGATTTTGTACATGGTTATGACATACCCCCTGTCCTGGCTACAGGCCCAGCAGGTCCAGAGGGCCTTGTGCCTCTTCTCTTGGGGCGGGAAGACAGAGCTATATAAGGAGGAAAGGTTGGGGGGGATGGGGTTTCCCCAACTTAGAGGTTTTTGTTTATGTCCGCTTCTTGAAAATGGTAGTGAGGGAAGCAAGGGGGGCACTGGGGATGATCTCAAATTTCTGTAAGTTCTGGGGGGTCGGAAGGCTATTACAAAGGTTGGGGCTGTTTGGGAGCAGGTGGAGAGGGGTGTGGGCTTGGCGGATGTCACTCCCTTATGAGCGATTGGGAACTTTTGTTACGGGCCAAGGCTTGGAGGGGTTGGGGCTCAAAGGACTGGGGAATGCAAAAAGAGTATTTAAGTTCATGGGGGGAGAGAGAGGATGACAGATGTGGGGGAGCTGAGATCAGAGCAGGTAAGTAGGGTGTGGGAAGGGCTGGTGGGGAAGGAATGGAAAGGGGAGCTGGCATGGAGGACGGCGCAAAAAGCTTTGCCGGTGTGACTGGTGTTCTATCGTTGGGGTATAGAGCTGTCACAGTCCCCCAAGTGCCCAAGGGAGCTTTGTGACGAGCCTGAGTCGGTGCCACGGGGACTGCTTTTACGCTCAACAGGTGCTAAGACGGGTAGCGATGTATTTGAAGGATATGGGATCACGCTCAAAAATGTCTTATATGGGTTAACAGATGGGATGAAAGGGATGTGGGGGGTGAGAGTGTTGATCACATGTATGAAAGTAGCACTATGAAAGGTACGCCCCCCCATTAGTGCTAAAGGGGTTGTGCTTTTCCATGCTGGAGTGCGGTGGCAATGCATAGGGGGTGCATGGGAGTGCACGTACACCCCCTGAGAGCACTGGTGCACCGTCAGGCCGCACTCCCCGTTTAGCCAGGACAAAATGTTTTTTTGGTGAGTGCAATTGGCCATGCAGGACCATCCCCTGCCCTGTCAGTCGGATCGGCCACCGGGGGATTGGGTGAGAATGAGGTCAGTGGGACTGGGTAAGGGCTTATGTGTGGGATATGGAGGGGAGGGGTTTATCGCGCCTCACATTTTGCTTCTGGCCTGTGTACCATATGACTGAACATGCAGGTAAAGAAACAGGTTAATTTTGTTGTTGGGATATTATCACTGTGTCTCATTGACCGATACTGGCTATTGTATATGTTTAAGTGGTACAGTTTCGGTCATCATGTTTGTGCTATGTAATCCTTGACAGTCATCTGTTGTAACTTCTTCCGTGAGGCCTCTGTTGCGGTCGTTAGAATGTCTGGCTTTGTTTGTTTTCTAATAAAATGTTAAAAAAAAAGTTTCCATGAGCCAGCTTCGACCAGTTCGTGTCCTGCGTCAGGAGTGCCCTGCGGACATGCAGGAACCTCCTGATGTAGTCACACTAAGCTCGAGCAAACGGACGCTGTTAAAATGTTTCTAAGTGAACTCCAGTCCCACTACCGGAAATCAGTAGGAGAGGATGCAGCCAACTCCACCTGGAAAAGGGACACTTGGCACAGACTGGTCAAAGTCCCCCCGGGAAGGGAAGTGGACAGGGGGAACGAAGGGGACAACGACACAACTGGACCTGGAGACAGCAAAGAGGACAACAACAGGATCAGCAGCAGCAGAAGTGACAGCGACAGCAACAAGGACAGTGAATGAACTGAGAATGGAAACCCCAAATTGGGGCCTGGACTAAGGGACTATGTTTGGGTTAAGGAAGGGCCGAGAGTGGGTGCGCAGGGGAGCAGGTGCCGTTATTGTAACAGGTGCACGGGTTCTTAATGTGCTTTTAAAAGGTGTGATGGAAGTCTATGATAGAGGATAAATATATATATATAACTGTATATATATAAAAAAATAATAATTTTTTAAAAGCCCTGCTGTACACAGGCGCTCAGCAGGGCAGAAAACATCCAATCCAGAAGCATCTTTTGATTCCGACAAAAAGTGGACTGAAATGACTGTGTGGCCTCCCTGCGGGGCACAGGCGGCTGGTGTAC